TGGTCTTCTGACCCTGCAGCACAAAGGCTTCTGCAATTTAGCCCACAGTGCCACCACATCCCTTCATGAGTCAACAAAAAAAATACTGTAAATAAATTAGGAGAGGAGGGCAATTTAGTCCGGGGGGGGGAGAAAAATTACCTTACTAAGTCTCAGTTTACTAAAAAGATTGATTTGATTACAGAAATACTATGTATGTTCCACCTTTTATCGTTCCTTTTTTTGAAAAGTGAAATAGTTGAATAGTTTGGTAAAGAGGTTAGAATGACCGCTAGCCATAATTAGGCAGTTATGTTCTGAACAAGTGCAGCTTGTTCTGCCCTGCTGAAAATAGTCATTATTCATGTATTTATTTAAGGAAGTAGAGAAAGCTGCTGATCAATGCCCAAAACAGTGTACAGAGTGACCTAAAAGTACAAACATAAGCAAGATCAACAATAAAACATCCACTGTCACCAGTAAAAAAATCCAGGCAGTATAACTGGATGAATAATAACTTGTGGCTAAATTGAAACAGCAGCGACATCCAATCATCTAGTTGAAAGTGCTTTAGAAAGACCCAGATATTAGCTTGTACCCTGCACAAAATAGTTCTAAAAGGTAGTTGCTGTCAAGTTAAAAGGCATAGTGTGGTAGAGGTCAAAATCGTTATCACAGAAGAACTACACAGCTTTAATGTTGACAATGAAAAAGAATAGGAATTTTGTACACCTTGGTTTAGTCATCAATCCAAATAGAGACTGCAGCCAAGAAATCCGAAGACTGAGAAGGGCAGCAATGATGTAACTAGAAAAGCTAATCACATGTAAGGATATGTGACCACGACCAAGATAATTCACACTTTCATATTTCCAGTCACCATGTATGGATGTAAAAGTATAAAAAGCTTACAGGAAAATTGATTTGTTTGAGATGTGGTACTGGAGAACAATTTATTTTACTTTATTTTACTTTGGAGCACAACTTTTACCTACTAAATTTTTTAATGAAAACTTGGCAATCCATCCACATAAGTGGTACTATAAAGTTCAATTTAACTGTCTGAATTAGCGTTATATCACTAAAACTGAGTTTTCTGTTTTTCTCTTAGATTTTTGTGAAAGAATACAACATGAAAAAACGTGAAGCTTTCCTACAAGCTGTCTCTGATGGTACCATTGATAAGTTCTTGCATTTTATTCAGCTCCATGTAAGTAAATAAATCAGTTTCTGCCTGGCATTGAGGTGGAGTAAAGGTGGCAATGCCCTGGTTGAGAATAGGATGTCAAGCACATTACGGTTTTATTAAAGAAGCAGATACCAACAGTTTAAGGCAGCAGGGGCCATAGTATTATAACAGTGGTAGATGACGGATTTATTTAACCTATTTTCCATGTAACAATAGTGTTGTGGTGCACAAGGATATTCTGGGAAGCCTACAGCAAGGGAAGGTGATACATTTATTAGACCACTAAAAAATGCAAATTTAAAAAAGAAAGCTAGCTTTCAACCCATAGAAGTCTTCATCAGACTGGGCACCATTATACTGTAAATGGTAAAGGAGAAGCATGAAAGTTATGGCCGATGTCTGTGCCGGGTCTGTTTCTTAATTACAAACACAAGTCAGAAGTGGAGGTTTCAAATTCTCCCCCTGGTGCACGTTGGTTGGATTATCTCTCCCAACTCATCAAACAAAGGCCTGCCAGGTATTCAGCGTTTTCCCCCGCCCCATCAACTTATTTTGAAACTCAGGGTTCCTACGTGGCTGAGGCTGCACAGAAATGTGGCAACCCCCTGTCAGAGAATGGGGAATAAAATTTTATGTCCCCACTAGATGAAGTCAGTGGCAGCCACATTAACAGTGTTCCTTTATGATTGGAAAGCAGATATTTTCTTATGTTTGCAGTCCTGTTTGGGTAATGTTAAGTACAGTGGTGCCTCGCATTACGACGTTAATTTGTTCCAGTGAAATCGCTGTAGAACGAAAACGTCGAAATGCGAAAATAAAAAGCCCATTGAAATGCATTGAAACCTCTTCAGTGCATTCCAATGGGCTGGAAACTCACAGTCCAGCGAAGATCCTCCATAGGGCGGCCATTTTCGGTGCCTGTGCAGCAAGGAATCCGTCCCAGAAAACAGCGGGGAGCCATTTTATTTACCCAGTGGCCATTTTGAAACCACCGATCAGCTGTCCGAAAATCATTGTTTTGCAAAGAATCGGTTCCCGAAGCAGGGAACCGATCATTGCAAAGCGAAAAACCCCTGTTCAGACCACTGTTTTCCGATCGCAATTGCAATCGCAAAAATATTGTCATAATGTGGGGCCATCGTAAAGCGAGGCACAACTGTATCTATGTTTTCTTCTTGATGGTGCTCTAGGAGAGTTACTGTGTACGCAGCCTTTTCTAAAATTAAGTTCTTGTTCCATGCCAAAGTTCTAATTGTAATACATGAAGAGCACACAAATACCTCAACCCACAACCCAACGAAAAACTGGTTTATCATGAGGCAGGGGGAAAACTCAGGCCATAAAGGCCGAGCAAGCAATCTGGCAAATACCGCCTCACCAGAAGCATCTGATCTTAATCAACTGCCGCATATCTCCCAGAGTCCCCTCCTTCTCCTCAAAGGTATGTGGCAGTTGAGTTGGGGAGGCACACTTGAAGCCTGCTGTAGCCACCTCGTTGCAGCCAAGGGATGGAATTTCCTTTGTTTCAAACCAACTCAACCACATCCCCTACTTTGCAGTGTGATACGTCTCTCTGCTGACCACAACAAAGCCCAACCCATCAATCGCACTGTATCTTACCAAGCCCTTTAAAATCTAGAACAGGGATGATGCGACACTTATGGTCCACACGGTGCTGCTTGCTGGTGTGCAACCCTTGTCATTTCTCACCATTGGCTATATTGGCTGGGCTGATAGCAATTGCAGTCCAATAATACCAGGAAGGCCATTCATTTCCGTCACCTGTATAGAGGATGTTTGTACTAAACACACACACTAGGCACTGACCCACAACATGGATTGCAATTAAAAGAAGTTTAAGTTGCCTCTTGTTCTGGAATACTATTTTTCTTTTACTTGGCCTTTCCAAAAATAGAATGAAGCAGATGCTTCTTTCCGTTCCTTTAGGTAATTCTGCTTTTCAGGAAGGACAACATCTATCGCTCATTCCTTTTTTTTTTTACAGTTCTTTAATTGGTTTACTTCTGAGCTTAAGTATTGTATGGAGCTGTGAGCAAATTACTGCAGTGTGGGAGAAGTATGAAAAACTCTGGTTGCAAACTTTTGGTTTTGATCATTTTGCAGAAGGATGTGGCTGATTCATTTGACCTAAATGAGCTGCTTCAAGAATTATCAAGGAAGCAGAAAGAAGCTTTATGGGAGACGTTAAAACATTTGTTAGCACAAGCTTTGGTAGATGATCCAGTAGAGGAATGGCAGAGGGTTAGAGAAGAATGTGATGAGGACATGGAGAGTGACGGAGCTTCTAAAAAGGTAATTATTTGTATCAGATAGCTGAAAGCATACAAAAACACATTATTTAATCTAAACGAAATCTTGCAGACTGTGTGTTTCTTTTTTATCTCTTTACTCCCTTTATGTCCATTTCATTAATACATTGCACTTCCTAGGAGAGAGTGGCTCACGTACGTAGGCCTTGCAGGCAATCTCTTCTCTTTACACAGACTGTTCTGAGATTGAGCTATAATAGTAAATAAACATTTGAAGGTACAGTACATTATTATTGCTATTTTTAATTGATTCTAGAGAGCCCTAGTTTTAATTGCATTTTAATCATATAATTACATTTAATTTCTTTTTAATGTTTTGTTTTTATTGTATTTTAATATCCTATTGTTTTAAACGGTTTTGGAAGTTGCCTTGGGGCCCGATTCTGTGAGAAAAGATAGCATATGATTAAAATAAATAAGAATAAATGAACACCACAGTAGCATGCTGGAAGGCTATTCTAGTGGCTTTCTTGCAACCTGTTATCTTTATTTCTAAAATTGATATTGGAAGGATCCCTAAGCCAAGGCTTTTACCGGTACTGTTCTGCTGTGCTTTCAAATGTGGAGTTATGGGCCTCTGCTAAGACAGATTAGAACTTTGCATTCACAACCAAATGTTTGCTTCCTAAGCACTTTTTGTATGTAGGAATAACCAAGGGGAACGTGTGTTAATAATACTTCCCATTTTGCATTTAAAACCCTCAGTTGCCTTGCCAATATGAATAAAGTGAAAGCTTATACAGTATTTAAAAGAGGTCCCCATTGCTTTTTTCAAAAGCTGTATTGTGTTGCTTGTAAGCGAGCAGCCCTACTGTATATTGCATTGGAAAGAAGTAGTTAAGGGTTCTTTGACACCTGCATATGTAACAGGCAGCCCTGACCCCACCTGTCCGTCACAGCTGGGCAGTGGATCATCAGCCAATGGGATGACGGAGGGTGGAGCTGGAGGGGGAGGAGTTGGAAGAAAAGGGGTGTGAAGTGTGAGGGGAGAGATCAGATGTGGAGTGTGAGAGAGAAAGAGCTTGTTTAGAGGCCTGTGTGCCTAAGTGGTCAGTGAGGGAAGTCTGTGTTTGATTACATAAGATACAGTGATTGACATCTTGATTAGCTAATTGTGATTTACATATTTTATTTTGTTATTTCAATAAACCTGTTTTGTTTTGAAGGAAACCTTTGTCCTTCTTAAATAGTCAGTACAGTTGGTGGCAGCAAGTGTGAAGTAGCGTGGTGGGCATTCTGAGAAGCCTGAGTTGGCAGTGACATCAGATTGGCCTGCTACGTCACAGCATAGAAGTAAAAAATGGTTGTGTCCCTTCACAAGGTGGTCCAGCTAGGTTTCTGAATAAACTTCATGGGTGAAGGGGAGACGGAGTATGTTGTATGAAGCAGCCCTACTGTATATTGCATTGAAAAGAAGTAGTTAAGGGTTCTTTGACACTTGCATAGAAGTAAAAAATGGTTGTGTCCCTTCACAAGGTGGTCCAGCTAGGTTTCTGAATAAACTTCATGGGTGAAGGGGAGACGGAGTATGCTGTATGTGTAGGCTGCAATGCCCATGATACATCTGGTAATGAGGAAAAGAAGTGGGCAGGAAGTCCCCTTTATTCTGTGGTATTCCGCAAATTTTCCTTTCTTCATATGATAGTGCACCTCCCTCATTACAAGCCTAGAATATCCTCTATTTTGTGATAGTGCACCTCCCTCACTACAAGCCTAGAATATCCTCTATTTTGTGGAGGAACAGAGATGGGGAAGGATCTGTGTCATACTCATGTAGAGAACGCTCTTCCTTGGTTCTTCTTAGAAGTTAAATAGTACTATCCTTTATTTATGGAGCTTCTGCTTTATTAAATGTGTTGGCTTTAGAGAGTCTACTTTTAATAACCTTGCAAAATATTCAGTACTCTTATTTCATTTTAACTGTTGGCTCTTAACTTTTAGGAACAAACCTCGGCTGTGATACAAGGTGTAACAACTGTAGTTACTTCTTCTATATCGGTAGTAGATGAAAATGCCAACTCCAAAGCTCTTCTAGAATGTGCTTTGATATTAAATGGTATGTATTTTGTGATAAATCATACGTTGGATTAACTGTGCTTCTTTTATAAAATCTCTGTTACATTGATCATGTACTGAACATTTTCATGAGCAGGTAAATATTTAGAATAAGATTAATGCCACTTCTGAGAAGAGCAATTTTGTGTGGTGTTAGCTGAAGTAATTTTTAAACTATCATTTTGCCACATGATGTTCTTCTGTATTGCATCTTGAAAACCTCTTGCTATTCCATATAACTGCTTATCTCATAATAGATTCACTGATTCTCTTGGTGGCAACTTAAACACCAAAGGCCAGAATCCTACTGTCCCCTTCTACTCTTAATGCCACTGAAGAAACAATTTTGTGAGGTGAAGTAATTTTTAAACCATCATTTTACCACATGATGTTCTTCTGTATTGCATCTTGAAAACTTCTTGCTGTTCCATATAACTGCTTATCGCATAATAGAGTCACTGATTCTCTTGGTGGCAACTTAAACACCAAAGGCCAGAATCCTACTGTCCCCTTCTACTCTGGCAGTACTTAATTCAGAGTTTGCACAAGGAGGTATCAAGGGCTTCCTTGCTCAGGCCTACACACTTTTGAGACCAGCAGAGCCAATGGCAAGCTTGCATAATGGCAGGGCAGAGATTGTATAGCAGAGCTTGCATAATGGCAGGGCAGAGATTGTAGAATGCTGCAGCTGAAGCCTTATGCTGTGCGAGAAGATTCTGGCCATAAACAGCTGTTGAACATATTAAAACTGTCACAGGCCACATGCATAAGCACTGCAGAAGTTTAAAGGTTAAATTGGGCCCTGAAACACAATGGGAACAGACAAACATTGACACGATGAGTATAGAATGCTGCAGCTGAAGCCTTATGCTGTGCGAGAAGATTCTGGCCTTAAACAGCTGTTGAACATATTAAAACCGTCACAGGCCACATGCATAAGCACTTCAGAAGTTTAAAGGTTAAACTGGGCCCCGAAACACAATGGGAACAGACAAACATTGACACGATGAGTATTGGATAAAGGCAGCCATATGCAGATTGTATCATGATAGACCAACCTATATGTCAGTAATTGTGTATCCACAGTGGTGCCCCGCATAGCGACGTTAAGATGTCAGTATTTGTGTATCTACAGTGGTGCCCCGCATAGTGACGTTAATCCGTTCCGGATTAATTGTTGCTATCTGGAAACATCGCAATGCGGGTGGGAAAACCCCATAGAAACACATTAAACTTTGTTTAATGTGTTCCTATGGGGCGAAAACTCACTGTTATGCATAGATCCTCCATAGCGCTGCCATTGGTAAGCGAAATCGCGCGAAAATGGTTGTGGCGGCCATTTTGGAACCGCCGATCAGCTGTTCCGCAAACATCGCAATGCGAAGATTGGTAAGCAAAACGCTTACCGATCATCGCAATGCGATGTTTAGGCTATTAAAACATCGCAATGGATTTTTCCCCATAGGGAACATTGCAATGCGATCGCAAAAGTGATCGCAAAGTCTTCTTCGCTATGCGGATTCGTCGTTAAACGGGGTGCCTGCTAAGCGAGGCACCACTGTATCTCAGTTAAGATCCATCCTGTCTACACTGAGCACAGTTGATATATCCTGAGTGGTAAAAACATTCCTGGTAACAGTCACAAGCTGAGCTTTTTCAGTTAGTGATGAATCCAAAGGACCATTCAGTTGTTATGCCTGAAACCATGGAGGACTCAATGACACACGGTAGCGGAAACATGCCCCATACTCAAATCACCACTAGTCTGTCAGACCTTTACATGTTTAGTCTGAAGTGGAGTCTGTAAAATAAGGTTCAAGAAAAGTTGCAAATTGTGTACTTTACTTTTCAGGGAGTGCAAACACATCTAAATGACTGCAAACCTCCTTCCAAATTACAGTAGGACTGTCATATCCATGGGATCAGTCTCCATGGTTTCACTTAATCATGCTCTGAAAATATTAAAAATATTGAAAGAAATTGTTTTTCACATGTATTACCAGAACTGGCCACTAGAGATTAATCATGCTCTGAAAATATTAAAAATATTGAAAGAAAATTGTTTTTCACATGTATTACCAGAACTGGCCACTAGAGACCGTGCTATGAGTACTTGTTAGTGAAGAATACATAGCATAGCCCCCTAGTAGCCAGTTCTGGTAATGCATGTGAAAATATATTTTTTCTGTTTTTTTCCCTCTTTTACCGTGCTATATATGTTTGCTAGTTTGCAGTTTTCAGTATCCATTGGAGGGATTGGAACCAATTCTTAGTGGATATGGGACTCCCACTGTATTCAGTTTCTTCAGTACCTACCGTTTTTCCCCCAAAATAAGACAGGATCTTATATTAATTTTTGCTCCCAAAAATGTATTAGGGCTTATTTTCCAGGGATGTTTTATTTTACGGTCACGTCATCTTCTGGTTATTGCCCAAGGGTGGAGGGCGGGGTTTCACTTAATTAGGGCTTATTTTTTTGGGTAGGGCTTATATTACGAGCATCCTGAGAAATCATACTAGGGCTTATTTTCAGATTAGGTCTTATTTTCGGGGAAACAGGGTATCATTAATTATCTGTATTAAACCTCACCTTATTTATTTTCATGCTAGAAATGCCTCCAGGTACCAGATTAAAAATTTCACACCTTGTCTGGTACAGCCAGAGAGATGTAAGAAGTAGAGCTGAGGGTTATTTACCTATTGATGCCACATATCTTAAAACAGCATTGCTTGAACTATTGGAAACATTTTATTTACTTAACTGAGAACTAAATATTTTGAGTTTGTAGTATTGTGCAAATATCTGTGATACTAAGTTTCAGTAGAATCTTGCTGTTTTGTTGTCTAAAAAACAGAAATGACAAGTAATGCAGTTGTGAGAGTTTTATTTAACAGTTTTATCAAAAGATGGCTATATTGTCACTGGCATCTTGGTAGCTAGCGACAGAAAGAAAACAGCTTTGGCATAATTTGTAGACACACACTAGGCTTGCTAACAAATTTCTTTTTGTCACAGCACGGTTATCACAATAGCAGTAAATAATGTTGTATGTTTTTTTTTTTAATAGGCATCCTTTTTGCATTGCCTGACTCAGAAAAATCTTTATTGGGACCCATCCAGCATCTGTGTGAACAGTGGTGGGCAAAGGGACTTGAAGAAAAAGAACAGTTTGGGAAAACAGCATTCCTCATGTTTCTGAAAAACAGTGTCGAGAAGAAAACTGTGGTGGTAGGTAGGCATGCCATATGTTTCTCACTCCTTCTGGAAGATTAAACAAAGTTTTTTATGTGTTAGATACTTATTTGATAGGCAAGTCTCGTGTCTTGAAAAATCTGCCCTGCTCCACCATGGAATAAAGCTGGGTTAAGTCAGGAGCTTTTAAAATATTGGCAGAGTACATGAGCGGTACTGAAATACCCTTTACTGTTGATAAACACAATATAATGAAGCACTGAGGCTTAAATGTTGAAGTTCTCAGGGTAAGACTTTCCAGTGTGGTTTGTCCGCCGCCACGTCCAAACAAAAATAACTGACAGGCTATATTCACATATATGATCACCATAACCATTTGTATTTCTCTGTGGACTGACTTTGTTGACTGAGAACCAGTGTGGGAGGACTTGGGAGGTCTGGATTCAAATTCCGTTCAACCATAGAAAGTTCCTGAGAAGTGGCAATGATAAACCATTCCTTGAACATCCCATATACCTCAAAAACCCTGTTTATTTTATTTATTTATTTTTATTTTTTTATTAGATTTCTATCCCGCCCTTTTAGATAAAGTCTTACCATCATTCGGAAGTGACTTGATGGCATATAACAAGAGAAACATTGATTGATCCTGTATAATGAAGCACTGAGGCTCAAATGTTGAAGTTCTCAGGGTAAGGCTTTCCAGTGTGGTTTGTCCGCTGGCACGTCCAAACAAAAATAACTGACAGGCTATATTCACATATATGATCACCATAACCATTTGTATTTCTCTGTGGACTGACTTTGTTGACTGAGAACCAGTGTGGGAGGACTTGGGAGGTCTGGATTCAAATTCTGTTCAACCATAGAAAGTTCCTGAGAAGTGGCAATGATAAACCATTCCTTGAACATCCCATATACCTCAAAAACCCTGTTTATTTTATTTATTTATTTTTATTTTTTTATTAGATTTCTATCCCGCCCTTTTAGATAAAGTCTTACCATCATTCGGAAGTGACTTGATGGCATATAACAAGAGAAACATTGATTGATCTGGATTTCTCAGATTTTTGTTGCCTGCCTAATCCTTACAAAAACATAACCGCTTGCCTCCTTCAGGGAGCAGATATAATCCGTTTATGGCATCTTCATCGGGCTTTGTTGTGCTTTGATTACGATTTGGAAGAGAGTAATGAAGTGAAAGATTTATTGCTTCGGTGCTTCATGAGTGTTGCCCATATTAAAAAAGAAGAGGTAAGATTACTTTTTAAAAATGTCTTTTCTTGTGATGTTGAAATTATTGGGTGGAATTGGATGTATTCAAAACTAAACCAAAGGAAACCTTAAAGGGTGGTGTCACAAAACTCTGCTTCTTTGGAGCTTTGAGTCAGGTAGTCTCCTAACACCTCAGCCTTTTCCCCTGCGGCTGAAGGAAACATGAGGAAGTAACTAGAGAGAGGGGGATCTACCAGACTCCCAAAGGGAAGCTCGCTTTTCTTTTCTCTTTTCATTTCCAAACCCACCCACCCCCCAAAACCTATAAACTCGTTGAACAGGACTAATAAGTGAAGCCCACAAAACTGCTCAGCAGGTGCCCAAGTGGCAAGGGCTTAGGGCCTTTGCCTGCCCTTTGTGTTCTAAAATTATTCCAAGGCAAGGAAAAATTTTATGTCTTTTTTTTTAAAAAAAGAAGAAATAAAGAAGAACAAAGCAAAAGAATAGAAGGTAAAATGTAAAATCGGCGGAAATGTTATAGGTGAAAGGCTATAAATGAAAAAAAAAGGGCAAAAATGTGGGGGCACCTTAAAGTCTAACGTTTATATTTTTTTAATGTGAGCTTTTGTGGACAAGTCCACTTCACCAGACCTAACTGAAGGAGATACAACATGGCAAACATTTATACATGACATCAAAGTATAGATATCAAAATACAGAGACTGTGGTTGGTTGGTGTGTGAGTCAATGGGTGTTAAACTTTGTGATGATAGTGTCTTTGATATGTAGGTAATTCACAGAAGCTTGTACTGTAAAGAACACAGGAATGTTCAGGTTTTGGACTTAAGACATGGATTGTCATAAGTCTTAGAAAAATAACAAAAATCTCAAGCTACCCTACTCTGAGTACCTTAGTGCTGAACGCTTCCACCCTAAAGTAAAGCCCTGCAGTGGGGAAAGTGTGTGAAGCTCACTTACCTTCTATCCCTGTCAGCTCAGCTTACTTTCTCCTTCACAATACCTTAACAACTTTTATATAGTACAGCTTCAGGCTGCCAGTCTGCAGCTGTCACTGAGACTTTAATCCACTTCCCATCATTTTTCTTTGACAAAGACAGGTAATTAATTATTCTTCTGGGTGACTTTTCTCCCTCTTTGTTACCTTGTTTGCCTCGAGGTCAGTAAACTGAGTTTTGGTCTGCATTTCGAAGAACCTCTTGAAGATGCTCTTGCCCTGAATTCCAGGCAAAAGCAAACATTTTACAATCATTTGCCCAGATGAAGCACCTTATAAACCTTTATCCGTATCAAACGCTTTACAAACACAAGTCAAATAAATAAACATTCATAGTTCCCATTTTTCATATCCCAATTTCTCAACAGGTGGGGAAGGAGGAACATAGCAACGCTGAGCCTTTTCACAAGTTCTGAACACTGCTAGGAATGTGATGCATACAAGATAACACTCATGCATTCTCAGTTCTTTGGTTAAGATCTACTTATTTGTCTGCCATTTGGAAGTCAAATGGCATACAAATAGATAAGTCGTGTCTGACTCTTCGTGATCCCATGGACCAGAGCATGCCAGGCCCTCCTGTCTTCCTCTGCCTCCCGGAGTTGGGTCAGATTCATGTTGGTTGCTTTGATGACACTGTCCAACCATCTCGTCCTCTGTCGTCCCCTTCTCCCCTTGCCTTCACACTTTCCCAACATCAGGGTCTTTTCCAGGGAGTCTTTTCTTCTCGTGAGGTGGCCAAAGTATTGGAGCCTCAGCTTCAGGCCTGCCCTTCCAGTGAGCACTCATGGTTGATTTCCTTCAAAATGGATAAGTTTGTTCTCTTTGCAGTCTGAGGGACTCTCAAGAGTCTCCTCCAGCACCACAATTCAAAAGCATCAGTTCTTCTTTATGGTCCAGCTCTCACTTCCATACATCACTACTGGAAAAACCATAGCTTTGACTATGCAGACCTTTGTCGGCAAGGTGATGTCTCTGCTTTTTAAGATGCTCTCTAGGTTTGTCATCGCTTTCTTCCGAAGAAGCAGGCGTCTTTTAATTTCGTGGCTGCTGTCACCATCTGCAGTGATCATGGAGCCCATGAAGTCTACTTGTCTATTTGGAATTCTACTAATAACTATTTATTTATTTTTCCTAAGACTTCTTGTGTACTGTTTCTTCTAAAGTTTGTTGTAATTAGGTAATGTTGCTGTAACAAGTCTTTAGTAAGGTGCCATAAGTGTGTGTTGGAGAGCTTAAATTTCAGGAAAAAAAATTGAGTGTAGCATTAGTGCATGCACTGTTAGCTGCAGTTTTTAAAATTGATATATGACTCCTTCCAGAGTAACATTATTTTGTCTGCCTTCTTTTCTAGGGGAGAAGATTCCTAAGTTTTCTTTTCACATGGAACGTCAACTTCATTAAAATGATACATGGCACTGTTAAAAATCAATTGCAATGTTTTCCTAGGTATGTTTCACTTAAAAATCAGTTGTGGTGTTTCCATAGATCCATGTTACTTAAGGCACTTGCGACTGGTTGCAGTTACACAAAATGAAAACATAGTATTCTAAAGACTTCTTTATTGTTCATGGGCAAGTATGAGGACGAATGCTTGTCAATCTCTCCTATTTCTCTTCCTTTGCCAGTAGAAGTGGCTTCAGGAACCAGTACTTTATCAAGAAGAAAAAACCTTTTTTCTCCTAACCCAAAACAAGTTAAGAATCAGCCAAAGACCCTGGCTTCAGGCTCTCGTTTATTAGGAGAGAAGCAAATCAAGAGTTCCAATTTGGATATAATGCTAACCCTTCCCAGATCTTGGCTACCAGAGCTACAGTGGACCCTTGACTTACAGATGGCTTGACTTACAGACTTTTTGAGTTACAGACTTCTCTGGCTGCAAAATTTAAGTTTGACTTGCAGACTGAGATTTGACTTACAGGCCAGAAAAAACCCCAAATGGAACAAAAACAGCCTGTTACAGGATTAATCAGTTTTCAGTGCACTGTAGGTCAAAAAGACTTACAGACTTTTTGACTTGAGAACTGCCTTCCAATACGGATTAAGTTCTCAAGTCAAGACCCCACTGTATTCTAGGGAATAAGCAATGCAGGAAACAGTGATCTTGATTGGAAGCAGTAGTCCAAAGTTCTGATTTACAATTTTGTGTGATGTAGTCACTATCAGTTGTTGATCCTGTTATTTAAGATGCTGCTTTGTTTCTGTGAGGGTTCCGAGGTTAGCTCCTTCTTTTTTTAAAAAATAAGTTGCCAGATCTCTTGGGTTTGGAAACAGGGGTAACAGTTATTGGGCTGTTTAACAAGAGTCCAGTATCTACAAACTTATTCCAAACGTTTTCCCCTTTTGACAACAGATCCGCTAGGGGTGGTGGTTCTATCCTGTCCGTTCCAGGGTCCCGGCCATTCTGGTGGGATATCGGGGTTTAATAACAGTCCCTTCTGTCTTTCCAACAAGGGGATGGTGTCCTCCTCTCGAAGGTCCACCCAGTCACACTCCCGGGCAGGTTCCCCCGTCTGCCATGGGGTTCCAGGAATCTCCTCTGTAGAGTCTCCCATGTCCTCCATTCCAATCTCTCCCGGCGTCCTCTTTCCACCCTTTCTCTCTCCTCCCTTAACTTCCTCCACCACTCCTTTGTCTCCCTTTCACCCCAGTATGATGGTTTGGGGTTGAGCTCTCTCCTCCTCCGGGCATCCGCCTCTTCTTTAGGGACTCTCAGCTTTTCTATCTTCCCCATCCAGGGATCTTCAACCCAAATCCACTCCTTCCTGTTTCGTGTGTGTGTGTGTATGTGTGTGTGTGTGCTTGCATTTTCCCTCTTGTGGTATAGATTGGTAGGTAATACTGTGGTGCAGTCACCAAATGACTAAACTAAATGATTGCATCTTCTCTAGTGTATTTGTTTCAGATCTGTATAGATCGGCTGCCTTCATTTCATTATAATAAGAATAATAATCTTAGAACTGCAGAGGTGGAAGAAATTCTGTGGATCATTGAGATGCATGATGATATCTGTTCCCTTGCTTATTTGGACTTATTAGAATGGCCAATCTGGGGCTAACTGAGTTGAACGTTGGAGGTAGCAGAAAAAGATGTGGCTCTCAAGTTCTTTTGTAAGATCACATCAAAAGGAACCATAACGAGTCAAATTACTCTTAATAAAGGTCCTCCTCCACTTGGCTGTTATTATGCAAGAAAAGGAACTTGGGATCATAGAAGCTCACAGAGACATAAGCTTGAATATCTATTAGCTGCAATACTTAAGTAGAGATCATAGAAGCTCACAGACACATAAGCCTGAATATCTATTAGCTGCAACACAAGTAAAATCTCCATGTTGAGAGTCAGTAAAAAACAGGGGGGGGGGGGCTGAGATTTAAGCTGAATGTTCTCATTTTCCAAACCGAAAACTGCTACCATTTTAATGTTGCGGGACAGTTCAAAATGCCTGGGTACTGCTTAAAGCTAAAGAATTACGTATACATTCAATTTAGGGAGCCTGTTCACCAACTCTGTTTCTTCATTTACAAACACAGGTCCCTGATGACACATATTGCTGAAATTTATTTCAGAGCCTGGAAAAAAGCTTCAGGGGAGATACTGGAGGTATATTATTTCACAGTTGCTGCCATTTTTTCCCTTTCAGGATTAATTAAAACAACTGCAGCAGCAGCAGCAGTTTACTTGTCTTTACTCTCAGCTGTATCGACACTTTAAATCTTGTCATCAGTATGCCTGCAGAGGCAACTGGATGTATACATATCACAGCTGGGTATCTAGAGACTTCTTTGTTGTGCCGAAAGTCTTGCTTTGGAAATTTATGCACAAATATAAATCTTAAATATCTGCCAAGACTGATCCTAGTATGTAGAAGTGGTATGTGGATGTGTTATGTACAGTGGCCAGATGGCCGTTCTTTCTAGAGAAATACTTTACGGAATCACTGCTTGTTCTACAACATCTGCATAGCAAGAGGTTCTTGCTAATTAAAGGCTGTTGAACTAGGCCTTAAAACAAATTGAAATGCAATGTAGTTGCTTCAGTAAGGGAATTGTGTGCATCTGATTTTGTATATTAATGGATATGCTTTTGTGTATTTTATGCATTAACTGGGATTGTTCTTATTTCAGATGATTGAACACAGCTGCATTCAAGATTTCATGCATCATGCAATTCACCTGCCAAGAAACTCTCCACTACACCCCAAAGTGCGAGAGGTAGGTTGAGTGTTGTTTAAATGCGAGAGTTACGTTGAACATTGTTTAAGCAGTGATTTTCAGAGTTCTAGTTCTCATGATCGCCTACCTTGTTGTGTAATGAAAACTCCCTGCAAATTCGTATGTGGCTGAAGTTTCTTAGTAACCTCTGGAGCCCACGCTCAGCATACAAGAACAGAGATTTAGTTGGACTTCACCTGCAAAAGAAAGCTCCATATTCTGTTTTTCATTCTAGCAGTTATATATCAGAAAATTGGTAGTAGTTAACCAGCTGCCTTAAGGATATGCTGCTTTACAAATACTGATCTACATATTGAGGAATGCAAAAGCTAACTAGGATGTTTTTTATTATCTACATTGATATCCTGCCTTTCCCCCCCTGAAGGACCCAATACATTGTGCATGGTTTTATCATCTTTGGTCCTAATAATAACACAGTAAGACATGTCAGGTCAACGCTGCAGTTAGCCAGGGTTGCTCATGTGTTTCCTGATTTTGTAAAGATTTGAACCTGTGTATTCCTCAAATCCCTTATAAATACACAGTGGAAGTGAAGAACAAAATTAAGGAACTAGATTTGGTGGACAGAGTGCTTGAAGAACTATGGATGCAAAGAAATAGAGGAAATAGAAAGGGAAAAACCAGAGATCTGTTCAAGAAAATTAGAGATATTAAAGGAACATTTTGTGCAAAGATGGACATGATAAAGGACAAAAATGGGAGGGACCTAACAGAAGCAGAAGACATCAAGAATAGGTGGCAAGAATACTCAGAGGAATTATACCAGAAACATCTAGATGTCCCGGACAACCCAGATAGTGTGGTTGCTGACCTTGAGCGGGCAAACCTGCAGTCAAACCTGCAGTTCAATGCTTTCCAATTGGGGGGGGGGAATTCACCAAAAATTAACGAAGACTCAGAACAAAGCCAAATTAAGTTTGCACACGTTTTAGAAGGTGCTCTATGGCAAGTTCTTAAAGAAATGGGAGTGCCTGACCACCTTATCTATCTCCTGAGAAATGTGTATGTGGGAGAGGAAGCAACAGTTAGAACTGGATATGGAATAACTGATTGGTTCAAAATTGGGAAAGGAGTACGACAAGGCTGTATATTGTCTCCCTGCTTATTTAACTTATATGCAGAATACATCATGCAAAAGGCTGGACTGGATGAATCCCAAACCGGAATTAAGATTGCCGGAAGAAATATCAGTAACCTCAAATATGTAGATGATACCATTCTGATGACAGAAAGTGAGGAGGAAATAATGAACCTCTTAGTGAGGGTGAAAGAGGACTCAACCCTGAGTGCCCACTGGAATGACAGATCCTGAAGCTGAGGCTCCAATCCTTTGGCCATCTCATGAGAAGAGAAGACTCCCTGGAAAAGACCCTGATGTTGGGAAAGTGTGAAGGCAAGAGGAGAAGGGGACGACAGAGGGTGAGATGGTTGGACAGTGTCATCAAAGTAACCAACATGAATTTGACCCAACTCCGGGAGGCAGTGGAAGACAGGAGGGTCTGGCGTGCTCTGGTCCATGGGGTCACGAAGAATCAGACACGTGCTCTGGTCTATGGGGTCATGAAGAGTGGGACACAACTTAACTCAACAACAATTCCTCATTTGAGCCTCACACTTGCAGGGATTCTTTAAGCCAGTGAAGAGCATTTGAGGTTTTAAAAGGAAAGGATTTCTGTTTCCCAGAAAATAGAGCACACACTTGTTGCGTGCACACGCTGCATGCGTGTATCGAAGAGGATGAAGTCTTAACGGGCAAGCATTTTTAGAATGTACACAAAGGCTTGTTAGACCAGCATTAAACCTTCAAAAGACAATTATAATTCCCTGTTACGTTTTTTATGGAGTCAGGGTAGTATAATGGAGAGAATGCTGAATAGATAGTTGGCAAGTTCTGTTCAAATCCATGAATGGCTGAAAAACTCATTTGTTTTGGCCAGTCATACTCAAGAGATCTTAGCTCACAATGGTCTGGTTCGAATATCATTTGAACCATGAACGGCTCACAGACCTGCATGCTCACTTCTCCATGGACGTGCTCTATTTCCTTCTCTCATTTCTTGATATAGGATAACTATAGTTTGCCATGATATCTGAATTGAGCAAATCATGGTTTTTGTAAGTCCACAACTTCTGTCCAGGTTTTGGACTGCGTTTCCAGTTCTAGTTGGAAGCACACTTTTACGTAGGAGTGGGTATTCTGTGGAGGTCTGGGGATGAAATTTCAGCTACAGGATCATCGGGGCAGGGGCTACCCCAGTTCCCAAAACAGGAAATGGAAATGGCCAGAAGTCGGTATCTAGTTTTGTAAGCCCTTTTCTAATGCATTCTTCCATGCCTGTAAGCCTGAGGAGCTACAGCATTTTGTAAGCATCCTATGTGAGTATGTAGCCTTCTTTGTTTAACAGCTGCAGAAATTTTTACAAAAGCTAATAATTTGATAAAATAGGTTGCATTTCTCAAACAGTGTGTGAAATTACCTCTTGTCATTGCTTTTTGTTTTGTCAGTTGCTGAGCTATTTCCATAAACAAAATAAATGCCGCCAGGGAGTTGAAGAAGTGCTTTTCAGACTTTATCAACCCATTCTTTGGAGAGCCTTAAAGGTAATTCTCTCTCTAAAATGCCACATTTTGTTCAGATCTTGTTTTGTTTTGTTTTTGTTTATTTGCATTCATATTATTTTCAAAACTAAATTACTGCTTTTCGAAGGAAATGTCTAAAGCCAGGCTTCTTGTAAGACTGTCTTTTGCACTCAGGTGTGTGCAGTCACATGAGGGGAACAGCACTCCTTACAGGAGGGAAGTGCAACATAATGTTGTACTGTGTGTGTCACTGTCATTAACAGGAATGCTCCAGTCCTTCTTCATTTTAGTTCCATCACAGGGGTCTACACATGTACAGTATTGTTCCTTGAGAAATGGTTGTAGTGACAATGTTTTAGTCACAAGTTGGTTGGATTATTGTAATGTACAGTGGTGCCTCGCTAGACGATTGCCTCGCAGGATGAAAAACCCACAAGGCGATTGGTTTTTGCGATCACTATGGTGCCTTGCAAGACTTTTTTTTTCTATGACCGTGCTTCGCAAGACTGGTTTTTTTTTTGAGACCGTTGCATAGGGAACCTCGCAAGATGATTTTTTTCACAAGACGATGATTTTCGCAGAACAAATTAAAAACATCTTGCAAGGCACCACTGTACTTGACATCAGCCTGCCTTTGAGAAGTCTGTGGAAATTTCAGTTGGGCCAGAGTGTGGCAAAAAGTGTGGTCGTGCTGTTCCTGTGAGGGAGAGTAAGTAGCACATCCATTTTACAATAGTCACCAGTTTCTTTCAGTCTTAACTCATGGTGGTTGAAAATCCTAGGTGTTTCAGGTTCAGATTAGACATGATATGTTCATATTTGTCTGGGCTGTTTGGGCCCTCCCCTCAGAACCATCCGATCCAACTTACTGTTTGCTGTCTGGTGCCTGCGGCTGTCATTGTTCACAATTGTGCCAATCGCGGAAGCAGCCTGGTTGACGCTTCCTCCGCCTCCCTGTGCTGCTGACCACTCAGCCATCGAGTGCGGAGACTCCTGAGCTTGCCTCTCCGGAGTGGTCAGCTGTGCAGGGAGGTGGGGAAGTGCCGTCCGGGCTGCTTCCGCGATTGACACGATGCGAAGGATGATGGTCATGCACGCCGTGTGTTGAGCGGTAAGTGGACCCAACAGGTCTCGGGGGGAGGGTCCAAACAACTCAGGCACTTGTGGTGCTGATATTCGTATTTGTCTCCCCTGGGAGATGAAATGAATATCCCATGTCTGGTTCAGACTATATGAAAGCCTATTTCCTCCTAAATCTTTCTGTGTGTTTTTTTTAATTTGACTAGTTGGGTTATAAGAGCTTGTTCCAATATTTTAGTATGTTTTTATCATTTTATTATATGCCTTAGTTATCACTGATGTAAGCTCCCCCGAGCAATTTGTGTTATTTTAGAAACAAAAGATTTAAATTCATTGCTGGACAAATATGTCGGGTTGACTGCCACTAGAGCAGGAGGGACATGAGTTCATTGTCTTTATTTTCTATTACTGGTTATATAAGTCAAAATAATCATTGTCTAATGAGCAAAATGTGTTATATTAAGCAGCAAAGAAAGCTATGTTGAATTAAACCACTTGTTTTTCCCAATGAACTCTCACCTTAGCGTAAAATATATTTTGATTCTCTTAATGCCATCCTGAGTCTGGACATTTTTGTTTGTTTCTTATTCATTAGTGATTTATCTGGATGTGGGTCTGTAGTAGCTTTTGACTGAGGTCAAGGTGATAGGTGATGACGGCTTCCATAATTGTTCAGAGGCCAACTTCTGTAGCTTTGATGACAACCTAATTCCGCTGATACTGTAGTTCTTCAGCTCAGTGAGGAACCGTGTTTAGAATACATTGCACAGTCCTGCTATCCCCTTTTCCTACTGTGAATCTCTCAATTTGTAGTTCTTTGATCATTGTAAGTCTTGTCACCCAGTAGCTTGACGTTACACGAAAGAGGTACTTATAATAAGCTTTCTGACGGTTTACCAGGTTAAGAGATTATAAAGCAATTGTATACGTAGGCCTCCTTTCTGCCCTGTGAAAATTTATGATTGGCGGCCTTATCTGAAGTGAAGTTATCTGGTCTCTCGGCATCAAGCCTTACTTTCAAAATAGTCACATCTTTGTTCATTTTTAGAAGGGATGCTTTGATGTTTGTTCATAAAATATATTTTATTCTGAGCTGTGTTTGTGCCTTGGTTTTGAAATGTAGTGAAATCACAGAATGTAGCTTTTTAGATATTCTGTCATTGTTTTAAATATTTTCTGCTTTCTTAGTTGAGAAAAGTAAAATCAAGTGTCTGCTGTAGCTGAGGAGATACTGTTTAAAGTATGTGGCCAGTGCCTTCTGAAATTCAAGATAAGGAGGTCTAAATTAATATTTCTGTTTCTATTAGTGGTGAACATTAATGCCAGGAACTGTGATAAAATATGCAAAAGAGTAAAATTAAATTTGTGCTTAATTTACTCAGTGGGTAGAATTGGACTTTTTTTAGTATAGAAGATGGATTGCTTGATTATAGAATTCATCTTTTTAAACCTAGCAGTTCTTTTTGTAATACACTGAGAACCTGAGTGATACAAGAAGGCAATAGATTTCTCTATTATTAATTTTACAATGCAGTCCTATACATGTCTACTCAGAGTTAAGCCCCATTGTGTTCTGTGGAATTTATTTTGAGGTAGTGTAGTACTTTTGTGTAGTACTTTTTCTGGTCGAGTTCTCCGTTCTTTCTTGAAAACTCCATGCTTGGGTTTCCAAGAGAGCTTGGGCTTTAAATCTGAATCTCCTTTTCGTCTGAATTTCCTGGTTCTGTTGAAGTACTTCTTTTGTTTTCCAAGTGAGACTCTGCTGGTGCCAAATGTTTTGTTTTTCTAATTCCCCCCCCCCCAGCTTTTAAAATTGGAGCACTGAAGAAATATCTGGTGCTTCAGAAAGCCCTAAATCAACTCAAGTGCCACTTTGGTCTTCTTTTTTCACTTCAGATAAGTATAGAAATAAGAAATACCTGTTTTACTTCAGATTCTGGATAATTTCAATACAGTGGTGCCTCGCTTAGCAATCGCTCCGTTGAGCGATGAAATAGCTTTGCGATGGGCTTTTGGCCATCGCTGGAGTGATCCCTTAACGATGGCCCCTATGGCTAAAATTCGCTTTGCGATGATCACGGGGAAGCGATCATGGCAAAGGCAACTTTTTTAAACAGCTGATCGGCGGTTCCAAAATGGCCGCTGCAAAAACAAAATGGCTACCGCTGCTTTGCCTCGCTTTAGAGGCAGCCAAAATGGCCGCCGCTATGGAGGAATTTTGCTTTAAGGTATGTTTTTAGCCCATAGGAACGTATTAAACGCGTTTTAATACGTTCCTGTGGGCTTTTTAATATCGCTTAGCGATTAAATCACTTAGCGATGTTTTTTCTGGAACGGATTAACATCGCTAAGTGAGGCACCACTGTAGTTGAAACACATCTCTGCTTCATATCATTAAATGCTTCATTTCTGTTACATTGTTGTAGTTTTAAAAAACAAACCTGCACCATAAGCTTTTTTGGATCCCTGTTTCTGGGAGAAAGAATAATAAATACATGATTTTGAGACTTCTATGTTTGTTTAGCATTCTATGTGCCTAGGCTTTTTTTTTCATACCAATAATTCGTTACCTACTATTTCTTATGGGTCGGAGGTTCGTGCTGGTTCCCCTGCCTGCCCAGCCAATGACCCATTCACCAGTTGGAGCATGCTTCTCCTCTCCTTCTCTTCGACCAATCTCTGGCAAGAGCATGGGTTTGCCTATCCTTATTCCCTGTCTGAGTGGGCAGCCAGCCAAGTACCGTATTTGCCGGCGTATAAGACTACTGGGCGTATAAGACGACCCCCCCCCAACATTTCCACTCAAAATGTAGAGTTTGTTATACACTTGCCATATAAGACTACCCCCTCTTCTGCATGCGTGATTCTCCTTTGGCTGCATCATGGGGAGAGTTTGTTTTGCCGCTTTTGGATCCTTTTGCTGGGAGAAAGCGAGAGTTTGCTGGTGGCAGCCATTTTGGAGAGGCGGCAGCCATTTTGAGAGGCAGCAGCCATGTGGTCGCATCTCAAAATGGCTGCCGCCTCTCTGCTGCTTCCTGATGGTCAGCTATTCGGTGCTGGAGTCTGGCTGTTCCAAGGCTACCAAGGAGGAGCGGGGCTCGGTCTACTTGGTCTTACTACCAGGTAAGTGACTTCGCTGAGAGAGAGCGAGGGTTTGCTGGAAGTGCACCCGGCATATAAGACGACCCCCCACTTGGAGGCGTGTTTTTCAGGGGGAAAAGTCATCTTATATGCCGGCAAATACGGTAAGCAGGACATGGAAGCCTGGCTGAACAGCCAAAGAGGAGGAGGAGGAGGGGAGCATGCACAGGCTGGTGAGTGGGGGATCCAAGTGGGGCAATGGAACACGTGGCACCTGTGGTGCCATGCATGCGAACAGGCACAAACTTCCAAACTGAAATTTGTGTCCATCTCTAAACATGAGCACTGAGTATTACAGTTTAACTTTTCCTCTTCCTCCAGAAAACGTTTATAGCGAAGGCTTTCATGGCTCAAATGATTGTACAGCTGTTGCATTCATGCTTACAGCTGAAAAGATGCAATATCAAGAGGGAAGAAAAGAAAACAATTAGATTCTGACACTCGCTTGTAGTTACAAAGTTTTTATCATAATGAGCTGGAAAAGGCGTTGTTCAAAGCAAGGAGCAACCAGAAAACGCCAGTTTCTTGGCTGAACTGATAGATTGGACTTGCTTTGGCTCTTTCCCTCTGTTGCCGCCAAATGGATACGATTTTGACTGCAACAGAAGCCCAGTGGGTATGGCTTCTTAGCAGAGCTGTTAGAGGCCTTGATTTCCTTCTCTGTTCTTGCCTGATTGCTTATTAATTTGAAAGTGAGCTCTTTGTTTAACTAACCTGTCCGACACTTCCTCTTCACACTAACAGGCCACAAACTCGGAAGTTCGATCAAACGCGGCTCTGCTGTTTGTTGATGCCTTTCCCATTCTGGATCCATCTTTTAACAGAGAAGACACAGACAATGAAATTCAAAGGCAATTTGATGAACTTTTTGTAAGTGTCTTGCGTGTTCTAGCCTGACTGGACGGCTCAGTGGTTTAGATAAGCCTGAGGTTGAGAATTCTGTTCCCCACTATGCCTCTTGCGAATAGAGCCAGCCTATGTGGCCTTGGGTGAGCTGTAGAGTCCTAGGAATAACACAAGAAGAAGGGAATGCTTCTGAAGCCAGAAAGGCAGGGAGAAAGCACAGGAATTTGGAACTTCCCGTGCTTTCTCCCTGCCTTTTTGGCTTCAGAGGTTTCAGAAGGCTTCCTCCGATGTCGAAGGAAGCCTTTTGAAAGCTCCAAAGGCAGGGAGGAAGGGCAGGAAATTTGAATTTCCCGCCCTTTCTCCCTGCCTTTTGGGTTCATAATCCGATCTGCGTTCGCAAGTAGCGTTTACTACTTGCGGTGAGATCGGGGTCGTAACCCGAAATGTTCGTAACTAGGGCCGTTTGTAAGTTGAGGGCCCACTGTAGAGTAGTCCTAGAAAGAGCTGGAATTTTTAGCATATATACATTACTGAAACAGCGACATCTATGTTGGCTTGGGCACGTCGTGAGAATGGCTGATGGTCGGATTCCAAAAGGTCTCCTGTATGGAGAATCAGTGCAGGGAAAGCGCCCCAGAGGGAGACCACAGCTGCGATACAAGGGCATCTGGAAGCGGGATCTGAAGGCCTTAGGAATGGACCTCAACAGATGGGAAACCTTGACCTCTGAGCGAATGTTCAGCCTCTAGGCAGGCGGTGCTGCATGGCCTCTCCCAATTTGAAGAGACCCTTGTCCAGCAGGCCGAGGCCAAGAAGCAGTCCTGAAACTAGCAAAACCAGGGAGCTGGACAGGGGACAGACTGTATTTGTCTTCAGTGTGGAAGGGATTGTCACTCTCAAATTGGCCTTCTCAGCCACACTAGACACTGTTCCAAGTCCTCTATTCAGAGCACGTTACCATAGTCTCTCGAGACTGGATGCCTAATCTAATCTTTAAAAAGGTGGTAAAATAATGAAATGATTTAAAACCAAGACAAAAAATGTTGATTTGCTTTGAAACCAAAGTAAAGCTATAATGCAAGTATGGCAAAAAAAACTTAATAGTTGATAATTCTGAAAACATGCAATGCATTGTGTTTTAGGAAGATTTCATGTACAAACTTTCAGCATGAAATTCAGCTGCTCAGTTGAAATCAAAGAAATATAATGAGATTTTTGGGGTATTTTTATAATTTCTGCCTCTCTGTAGAGTCTCCTGGAGGATCCTCAGCCTCTAGTCCGCTCAACAGGAGTACTTGGTGTTAGTAAAATAGCATTCAAATATTGGGAAATGATTCCTGCGACTGTGCTTGCTGATCTTTTAAGAACTTTGATTGAAGATCTTGCTTTTGATACAACTTCAGCTGATGTTCGATGCTCTGTTTTTAAAGTAAGTGCACAAAATATTTTCTGTTGTGTTGAGTTGTCAACAACAACAAATGAGTTGTCTTTTCAAGCTGTATGCTTTATACATGACACTGCCTCTGCTCTCCGAGTTGCCCACTCCGTAATTTATTATCGCTTCTCTGAGTTATAAATCCTATTTTGTCATTCTGTAATTTAAGATCAAGGGACGTGGTGGTGCTGCGGATTAAACTGCAGAAGCCTCTGTGCTGCAAGGTCATAAGATCGAATCCACGCAACAGAGTGAGCCCCCCATCACTTGTCCCAGCTCCCGCCAACCTAGCGGTTCGAAAGCATGCAAAATGCGAGTAGATAAATAGGCACCACCACAATGGGAAGTTAACAGCATTCCATGTCTAGTCACCACGGAAACTCTTCAGACAAAACTCTATGGGTTGGAGACGGAGATGAACACCCCTCCCCAGAGTCGGACACGACTGGACTAAATGTCAAGAGGAACCTTTACCTAATCTAAGGACAGGAATGTGTCTAGAAAAGACCAGCTGGTCTTGCCCCATCCCTTGTCACACTGCTGATGTGAACCAGAATGACTCTGGAAAGAGTTTTGCTTACATGGAGGCTCTGTGCATGAGGAAAAACCCAGATTTTTCTAAGGTGTAATGCTTTGAAATGCTACTTTTTGGACTGTAACTCCAAGCATCCCCCAGCCAGTTGGGGGATTTGGAAATCCTGCTGGCTGACGTCTGCTATGCTATTGTATACCAGATTATATGATACTGTACTGTACTATAACCTTTTAAAGACAGAAACGTTAAAGTCTTGGATTGTGTCTACAAAAGCTATTGCAAAACATCACTGCTAGATAGTGGAGGATCTATGGAACAGATTACAATGAATATACGGGCTTCATTATGAGAAAAAGGTCGCCACATTTTTCAGAGCAAAAATATATGTCAACCAAGTAGTACCTTAAACTGAAATAAAAGCTTCAATAGCTGCACCAAGCCTTTCAGAAGGTTTGGCCCCTGCAAAATCTATGTGCTGTCTTTGTTCCAGTTTAGCGGTACATTCCTAGAATATTAATAGAGAATTTTATAAGCACAACACACACCACTTTGCATTTAAACAGCATGATTTAACAAAATGTATTGCCTTGCTCTTTGTCATTCTCCAGGGCCCGTTTTCTAAGCTACGCGTGTTTAGCAATTAGAATAGTTTTGGTTCTGCATTCCCTGTTTTCTTGTGATAACCTTTTATTGGTGTTTCTCGTTCTCTTTTGCAGTGCTTGCCTATAATTTTGGACAACGTACTAAGCCACCCATTATTGGAACAGCTTCTGCCAGCCCTGAAATACAATCTCCATGACAATTCAGAGAAAGTTAGAGTGGCTTTTGTTGATATGTTGCTGAAAATTAAGTCTGTCAAGGCTGCGAAGGTAGGATAAATTAGGTTTGCTAGGCTGTAGACAGGGTACACAGAGCTAGGCAATTTAATCTTGAAAATGTACATTCATCAATACCGGAGGAGTCTTAAAAGGAAAGGGGTTCAAGTGACCCATTAGCACTTCATGGCAAACTATTTTCTACTGTTGCATTTTAAATTAATCAGTCTATAGAAACTTTAAGCACCTTTTTCTCTTGGCGTTCTAGCAATTATCTTGATTGTTCAGCGGTCAAGTGACAACTGAAAGAGGGTATTCAATTATCTCATGATTATTTTGAAAATTAATGAGTCCCTGCCTTGAGTCAGTCAGAAATGTCTTGATATTTTGCAGCTCCAAAAATAAACTGCCTCTAAATGAAGCTAAGGGGTAGGGTAGAAGTGGGATTTCTGTTCCCATCTCCCATCTCAATATCCTCCATTTTATGTGCAGAGAAAGTATCCTTGGACCGTCTTGTCTCCTTGGATTTCCGCACGACCTGTCCCCTAAACCCGTTCATCAGCCATATAATAATTTTTGTCACTAGAGGTTGGAAGGGGCCCTTTTTTAAAGTTTAAAATGTTTTTCAAAGAAAAACACAGGACGTGGGAGCAGGCAGAGCCCTCCAAGGCCCAAGGGTATGTGTATGTGACTTCCATATCTCCTCATGAGGCCCAACCTGGTTGCAGAGGCAGGAGGAAAAGCGATATCCCAAAATATTTCTGGAAAAAATGATAATGTGCTGAAGACATCAGATGAAATTGGAAGAACATTGGGGAGTAATTTTATGTCCACATGTCTACATCCTTTCTTGAATACAGTGGTGCCTCAGTTTACAAACTTAATCCGTCCCAGATGTTCATAAGTCAAATCAGCATTTCCCATAGGAATGCATTGAAAACCGATTAATCCGTCCCGGCTGGTTTTTGTTCGTATGTAGAGGCGCCATTTGTAAGTCGAAGCATTAGTTCCGATAGGAACTAATGCGAAACCGGTTAATCCGTCCTCTACCACTAGGGGGAGAATTTTAAAAAAAAACTAAGATGACTTAGGTTTAAAAAAAAGGGCAGGGAGGGAGGGAACAAACACCTTTTAAACAGAACACCTTTAAAACCGAGCAGCTTTAAAACAAACCAAGCACCTTTTAAGCCAAATTTTACATTTTAAAGTTACAGTACCAGGCAGTCCAAAGTCTATTTCCTGCTTTCCCCGCTTTTTTTGTTCGTAAGTCAAAGCTCCGTTCGCAAGTCAAAGCAAAATTTTGCGAACGGAGCTGTTCGTAAGTCAAAATGTTCATATGTCGGGGCATTCGTAAATCAAGGCACTACTGTACCGTCGTTTGATATACTGTATATTATTTAATATATATTTATAATGTTCATCTGGAAGGAAAATGTATAGAAAAAACACTGGTTCCTCACAGATATATCTGTGTTTGCATCACCATCTCTTTTGAATTTGCTTTCTGGTCCACGGGATTCCAAAACTCTTATTTGTGCATCTGCTGTGTTATATATGTGATAATTAATTTGTTTTTTAAACCAAAGTGAAGGCTAAATAGATGCACTTGTACAGTATCAATATATACATTTCACACTGGAAGGAAGAGATATGTCATGTAGAGTTCAAGCATCATGCTGGCCATGCTTTCTTGTTCGTAAATTTATGATGGGGCCATATGTTACTCGGAAAGAGGTATCAGATATTGGTACCTTTTTAAAGATACTTCTGATGCCTAAGTTGACCCAGATGTTTTGTTTCCTTGCTTTCTATATGTGGCAGGACCAATAATGTACCTGTGAGGTCCTTTGATTGTCATGTTCACCTCCTCCCTATTTCTCCCCCCACATGCAGAGTAATACTCCAAGGCCCAATTCTGATCATGCAACACATAGATGGGGAGGGCAGGGTTGCTGTTCCCTGCTGTGTATTTAACACAAGGACTGCGAGATAGTGTCAGGAATAATTCCTGTCACGAAGCAATTTATCTGAAATCTGTGAACAGGATGCAGCTGAGGGCAGGTAACAAGCTAGAAGAGAACTGTTTGCCGACAGACATTTTGAGAGGGCAAGGCTATATTGGTCTGTTGTGATCTTTGCAGGCATGGGTTTTGAGCAGGGATTTCAGAAGGAGGTGCTGTCTCAGAGCAGCTGGTAGGAGAGCGGCCAAAGGGATGGGTACAGCATAGGTACAGTGGTGCCTTGCAAGACGATGTTAATTCATTCTGTGAAAATCGCTGTATTGCGAAAACATCACCTTGCGAAACATGGTTCCCCATTGGAATGCACTGAAATCTATTTAACGTGTTCCAATGGGAAAATAGTCGTTTTGCGAAAATCGTCCATAGAAAACATTGTCTTGCGAAGCGCAATAGCGATCGTGAAAACTAATTGTCTTGCGGATTAATCGTCCCGTGAGGCAGTCATCTTGCGAGGCACCACTGCACATCCAAAGACACATGTAATGTCTAATCAGACAAATGTAACATCTAATGATGGCAGTTTATTTCTTTTCTATTCCTGCACTCCAATCTTCACAAATTAGTTTTGGAAAATCTGTCCTATTGACCATCTCTTAACTCGCCTTGAGATTGATTCCCGGCCTGTGTCACGGCGCCTAGTAAATCTTCTCTTCAGCTCTTTCTTGCCCATTGACGAACCAGAAGAAGTTTGGTGTGAGCGTTGTGTGGCACTAATCCAGATGAATCCAGCAGCAGCTAGAAAGTTCTATCAGTATGCTTATGAATATACCAGTCCAACTAATATAGGTAAGGTTCTGGGAACTGGTATTCAAGTCGGTGGCCTGATTATGATAAACTATGTTTTTAAAGTCTTGGGTAGCTTTCTCGTAAATGCCCGAACACCGGTAACTCCTTCTTAAGGATTCTGTGCCAAACTGGAAGTTCCTGTAAGATGGAGGGGGAGACACACTGCTAGATGGGTTGCATTTCTGACTTGCATAATGCATGTGTAGAAGGTTATGGCTGTTTGGCTGGCTTATTTTTAGATGGAGATGGTACTTAAATTTTCCCCCAGTGTACTGCCATTGAGTGATACAGGGTGTTAAGTTTCGGCCACATTTAAATAATTTATTTTTATTTTATTTTAAATTATACACACATGAATATGTTGAAGGTCGTTTATAAGTCCATTAAAATCGTTAGAAGAAAAAACAATGAATAGAATATTAAGCTCTAAGCAATGGCATGTTTTCTCTTTGAACTATTTGTTTTTTTAAAAAACTATCACATAAACTGAAGACTTTACATGTTTAAATTTACATTCTTTGTCTTAATGGAGTAATAAAATTCGATTGATGGCTTTGCTGTCCACTCTACGTAAATTGTTCCTGTTCCAAGTAATCTTTTCTAATTGTATAATTCGTTCTTTAATTTTTAGCTAAATTGATGCTTACCATTCAGAACTGTTTGAACGCCTGTATCCAGCAGGCATTAAAGGCATCCGAAAGCAATGATGAAGACAGTGAGAAGGAAAATATGAGTGTAAGAATGCACCAGTATTGACTTTCTGGTAAAATTCATTTTTCTCCTACAGTAGACGTACGGAGATCCACAGAGGAGAATAGCTTCAGGCTCCCCAGTGTCCACCCCTTTCTCATTAACTGGAATGTAAAGTCTCAGTTACCAAGTCTGAGGCATTTATAGGAGAAACAAATACGTTTACTTACAGTTACTTGAAATTACATACTTCTTTATGCTGCTTTCTTTAGTGCACACATATTTAGTAACCAAATGAACAGATCAGCAGCAAACAAACAACTGCCACCAACCCCGGAGAGAGAGGGGGGAAAACACTTGGCAGAGAGACGGGGCTCTCTTTGTATTCAAAGGGTAGAAGGAATGATTGGTTAGTACTGGATAAATAGATTATCACCCTAGCCCAGAAAAGTGTCTCCAAGTCACACAATAGATAGCATTCAAGGTTGCAAATAAAACTCCAACAATTAGTTGAGTTGCTGTAGGTGATCAATGTCTCTTGGTTACTTACCTGCTTTTATTCATTTTCCACTAGTAATGTTTGGGCAAGCTGCATGTTGCCAACAATCCATATGTTGTCTTCCTGATCATATTATCTACTCCTGGTTGAGCAGTATATCAGAGGAAATGTTCCTGTTTCTTCCTTAGCCCCTGGTTTTTGACTAATTGACCCGTAAATATCCTTCCTTCTTAAAATCGATATGTACTAGTCTTGTGGTATTCATAGGAGATCCGAAAGATAACTTTTTAAAAAACTAATCTTCATGTTTGCATTTCAGGTGCCAGATGATGTATTGTCAGTTGATGATATACCTTCTATGGCAGGGTTACTTGAAGTTATTGTAATTCTCTGGAGAAGCATCCACAAGGCACTTGATCGCAATGAAAGTGCCAAAAATCATATCGTACAAAAATTTGCTTCTGTATTACCTGAATACTTAAAAACATTTAAGGTAAATTTTATGTCAGATGTTCTTTAAATAAATGTAGTGAGCGGAATACAAAGATTTCATGGAAGGGTGGGAGAGAGAAATACAGTGGTGCCTCGCAAGACGAAATTAATTCACTCCATGGTTAATGCCGTTTAGCGAAAATTTTGTCTTGCGAAGTACATTTTCACATAAAAATGGATTGAAATTTAATTAATGCGTTCCTGTGGGGGGGAAAGTAAGAAACAAAACAAAAAAGTCAGCAAAAAGTGACTTACCAGGTACAGTAGACTGAGCCCAGCTCCTCACAGTGCCTTTGTAGCCCCAGAACAGCCAGAAAAAGCGCCAAATAATGGAGAGTCACAACCAGCAGGGAGCCGCCAGCCATTTTGTGGTTGTCGCCGCTCCTGCCCCCCCTCTCCCTGCCTCTCAGCTGATCGGCGCTGGGTCTAAGAGGCTTTTTCCCTGCTAGGCAAGCTCCCTACTGGGTGCTGACTCTGAGCTGTTTGACACTCTTTTTCCAGCTGTTCTGGGGCTACAAAGGCACTGTGAGGAGCTGGGCTCAGTCTACTGTACCTGGTAAGTGACTTTTTGCTGACTTTTTTTTGTTTCTGACTTCCCCCCCCCATATGAACGCATTAACTAAATTTCAATGCATTCCTATGGGAAAGGCGCCTCGCAAGATGAAAAAAAATCTCTCAAGACTCTTGCCTCGTAAGATGAAAAAAAATCTCTCAAGACTCTTTCATCTTCCAAGTTTTTTGTCCTGCGAGGCATTCGTCTTGCGGGGCACCACTGTATGGTTTATAAGAAAACAGTTTTCTTAGCATTAGGAGGGCACTTTGGTTCATCATTATATTAATAAACAGATGCATATATACCCTATATAACATGGAAAGCAGTGTTGGAGAGTCTGTTCACTCAAGTTATTTTTATTATTAATAGTTGCTGTTAATATTTAATAAGAAAAAGGCATAGATTTGTACCTATATACATACTGTAATCACACTGTTGTGAGTGGTTCTGCTACAGTTTATTGAGAACTTGTAGCAACTATTAAAACACCATGGAAGGAACCATCTAGTAGTCAAAATAATTAGTCAAATTTGTGTATTTGTAGCAGAGTGAGGATAGATGGGTGGAATGTTTGTAGAAAATGATCTGTTAATAAAATAAGTCTTGTAGGTATCAATAGCTTTCAGCTTTACTTTTTGACAGCTTATTGTTACCTTAACGAATGGGCAACTAGCTATCTAACACTCTTTTGTGTAACTTGTTGGTTTACTGAAAATTCAGATATTCCTTAGTAAACATTTTTTCCTCTTTAACCTAGGATGATCGTTGTATATCTCCAATAATTATTCTGGCATCTTTCATGCCACCTGCTGCTATTCCTACATTCAGGTATTGAGAAATGCTTTTCTCTTTGTTTCTGGAGTTTTATTTCAGCAAGGATGTTAAGTAATTCCATTCATAGATCTTAAAAGTTTGTAACAATTTTCAAGGAACATTCATGTATTGTATTCTTCCCCTTCACCACCTTTTTTTTTTTTTTTTGCTAGTTGTGGTGTCCTCTCTAAACTGAGGAATCTTGAAAATGGTGCCACTGAAAATAAATATTCTACCCTCCTTGACTGTCTGTGTCGCTGGGGGAAAGTGGGACATGTTATTGAATTGATCTGTGATTGGATAAGCGCTGAGCCATGTGACGAAGAGGTATGCTAATGGAAGACTAACTTTGCAGATGTTGATCTATGCGGATTTTTTGATTGATTTGCCTTATTTGGCATTTTTAAGTGGCATCTTTTTACAGCTTAACAATAACATGACTCTGTTTCTCCCTCTTTTTAGAGCAACAAGGTTTCTAAACAGCGAGTACGTATCCAAGAAACACATGAGTCAAAACCAGAATTGGCACTTGATTATGTAGAGTATTTGCTGACTCATTACATGAATCGGGACTGTCTTCTTTCACTTCCCAAAGAGAAACTGAACTACCTTCTGAAAGTTCTTGGAACTGCAAAGGTAGGATGATGCTTTTCCTACAATATTGTATGACATTCTCAGTGACTCCTGAAAATATTTCTTGCAAGGCTTTCCCCAAAATGTAAATGTATTTTTTTCACATCATCTTTTCCCATTTAATAATTGCTCTCAACAAACCCTCACGACGGCCTCTTCTAATAAATGGAATACAGGCTTTGATTTTCATACCATCAATTCTTGTCAGCCAAACAAGGGTAAAAATGGCTGTTTCCATGTGAAGTGTATAAATAGGGTTATGTCAGTTCAAAGAACAATGCTTTACAATATACCGTATTTTTCCATGTAAAAGATGATACATTTTCCTAAAAACATTGGAGGAAAAATTGAGGGTTGTCTTTTTAAATTGAGGGTTGTCTTTTACACAGAAATAAGCCGAGGAGAAAACTACGTGGTAGCAAAACTGCCTACCGTATGCTTGTCAGTGGAGTCTGGAGGGACCTCCGTGCTGACAGTAATAAGCCGAGGAGAAAACTGCGTGGTAGCAAAACTGCCTACCGTATGCTGGTCAGTGGAGTCTGGAGGGACCTCCGTGCTGGGATTCTCCACTTCTGCTCCCGCTGCTGCTCTGTGGATCTGAAGCAGCTGGCACTGTTCCTCCTCGCCTGCAGACGGATCCGGAGAGGGGTGTGGAGGCACAACCATGCCCGGGATTCACCCCTCCATTTCTGCTTCCACTGCTGCTCTGCGGATCGGAAACAGATGGTGCTGTTCCTCCTTGCCTGCAGGTGGATCCAGAGTGGGGAGTGGAGGCACCTCCGTGCCCGGAGTTCACCCCCTCCGCTTCCGCCTCCGCTGCTGTTTCTGCTGCCGCAGACAAGTGGCCATGAAAAGACACACTATACTGCTGTGCTTTCATGCTGTGCAGATGGTACTAAACTGCCTCCTATGCTTATTTTTAAGAGGAAGACGTATCCTAAAGCGTGGCATTATTGTGCAAGTTCATGAGAAGTGATGGATGAATGAGGACATCATGGTCATTTGGTTTGCAAAGGTTTGGTCCAGAAGACCTGGAGGGCTCTTAAAGAAGCCAGCTCTACTTTTCTTTGATCAGTTCTGAGCACATTTAACAGAAAAGACAAAAAGGGTTGCATCGGATTTGCGAACACATCTAGCAGTTATTCCTGGTGGACTTACAGGTCAGCTACAGCCACTAGATGTTTCAATCGACAAGCCATTTAAAGACCTGATGAGAGAAGAATGGAGTAGATGGATTCAAAAAGCAGCGACAGGAAGAATGAAAAAAACCAACCATTACTGAGGTTAGCAATTGGGTCCTAAACTCACGGTATGGCATAAAAAAAGAGGTGACTGTGAAGTCCTTCAAGAAATGTGGAATCAGCAAAGCCATGAACGGAACTGAGGATGGTCACTTATATATAGACAGTGACTCAGACGACAGCAGTGATGCAATAGAAGTTGAACAAACTGATATGTTTGAAACTACTGATAGTGATGAAGAAGAAAGCAGTGGTGCAAACAGAAGCTGAACGGAGTGGTTTGCTTAGCTAAGGGTGGTGCATAATATAGTACTGGCTTGTAAATGTTGCCTAATTACTAAATAAATATGTGTTCCATTCTAATGTTTAAAATACTGCTATCTGAATTTTTCGGTTAGAAGATTGAGGGTGTCTTATACATGGGGGTGTCTTAATATCTGAATTTTTCAGTTAGAAAATTGAGGGTGTCTTATATATGGGGGTGTCTTATACACGGAAAAATACGGTAGGTTGTGATCTCTCTGCCACTGTTTTAAAATAAACTGATGTTCTCTCTGGGGTCCTCTAGCTGGGATTTCCTGCATTAGTAAAGGGTTAGACTAGATTGTACCACATGGTATTTTCCAACTCTGCAGTTCTGTAATTGTAGGTCATGGAACCCCAAGGACTTGTCAAATCCATCCATTTGTGATAATAACAATGGGTCTGATCCAGAGTACTGTGTTCTTCTTTGGAATCCAGGGTATTATTTATTTATTTATTCATTCATTCAATTTATACCCCGCCCCCCTAGACAGCGTCTACTCGGGGTTATTTATTTATTTATTTATTTATTGCCTTTCTATCCTGCCCGTCTAGATTTGGTCTATTTGTTGACAATATTTAATCCACCAAATTATACCTTCCCATCAAAAATAACAGGTTAAGTAATGAATCCTAATCCTAAAATATGTTTACTCAGATGTGAGTGCCTATCTTGATCCAGCCCTGTCTAATTTGCTTTTAAGTAGATGGATTGCAGTCTTCCTTGTATGAATTAAGCGCTTGCACAAAATTTGGTCGCTCATATATCATTTGTGGGTTGGAGGAATGTATCTCTGCTAAAAGAGAGTTTGAGAGGAAGAAGTAATGACTTTTCCCCCGTTCAGCCTGCATATAAACTGTTGAGGTTATTTTCTTCCTAAATGTAATCATAAAATTTCAGGATATTCTAGATTCTTATATTGGAGAAAATCGTGCAAGGTCTCCTGGCTTTTTCCAAGCAACGGCACTGAGAGCTTTCAGTCTGTACTGCAGATTAAGCATCCATCTTCAATACAAGGTAGTGTTGATTTCAAAAGCTATTCCACATTTCAGCAGAAATAGCCCTTAGATTTGATATAACCATATCAATATGTGTTTTCTGTCTTAATAGTTTGCCTCGGAAGGACAGGATTATGTGTTAGCTTTGGAGGAAACGGGGGCCTGGATAGAAAATTGTATTCTTCCAGCTGTTTTAATAAAGGGACAGGAGAGTAGCTTGGAGCAATCAAGTGAAACCTCTCAGCTGGTGGTTCAGGTAATGAAAGCATGCATGAAGGCCTGTATGTTTGAGGCTGCTGTCTCCATACTCTGTTTTTGGGATTATTTCATTAACGCATGGTTCAATTCAGCCATTACAGCAACATCATTTGCATTAAGCTTCATTTGGGGCAGTCCAAAACATGGTTTGGCTTGTAGGGACAGAGGCAACACCAACTTGGAGCTCCTTGTTTGCTTTCAGTTTCAATGCACTCAGAAACCTAGGATTTCAGACAAACGTTCTGCCTTTCATTTCATTCTTATGTCAACCTTCTTTCAAGATACTCAGAGCTGGCCTTCTGTTCTCTTTCAACAAACAGAACTGTAAGAACCATTAAATCAATTAATCTACCAGCAACGAAAATCCTCACAAGTTAAACATTGTCAAAACCTATACAAATGTCCAAATGGCATTCTGAAGAAGAGATGATGAAGGGGGTTAAAGAGAGACATAGACCTTTATCTGAAAGACAGTCAGATGTTTAAGATGCAGCAGAATTGTTTCCTTTTTATTTCAGGGGGCAGAGTTAGAAGCAATGATGGATCTTGAAGGGAAGCATGGACAGATTTATCTTGTATGGATAAGCTGTACAAGAAAGTTTGCACGCTGGGAGTGGTTTAGCTGTGGAGCAGACTGTCTCAAAGCAATGGACTTTCTTTTGCTCAAAACATTATTTTTAATACCTTCTTTCCCCGAAAATATGACCTAACCTGAAAATAAGCCCTAGTACGATTTTTCAGGATGCTTCCCCCCAAAATAAGCCCCAGTTAAGTGAATCCCCGCCTTCCACCATTGTGCAGCTACCAGATGACATGACTGTGTTTGAATAAATGTAGATGGTTGTACATGAAAAAAAAAATAAAACATCCCCTGAACATAAGTCCTACTGCTTTTTTGGAGCAAAAATTAAAATAAGACCCTGTCTTATTCTTGGAGAAACACGGTAGAACTTGGAAGACCTGCTGTCAGAGATGCTGTTGTGTCCCCAGAGATGCTAGAGTAGATGAAATGCATGTTTCAGCTCTCTGTTTCTATACAGTAGTCCACTAGCATTCGTGTAGGTCAGCGGTCCCCAACCTTTTTGGGGTCGCGGACTGGCTGAGCCTCTGAGGAAGGCGTGGCACCACCAGTCCAGGCGCGCTTTTAGGCGCATATCTGCATGCTGTTGGGCGCATGTGCGAAGCGGTGGGGGAGCGCTCATGCTGGCACACACGCGCAAAGCAGCTGTGGGGAGGAGAGTGTGTGCAGGGGAGGTCTGGCTCAGGCCGTGGACCGGCACCGGGCTGCGGACCAGGGGTTGACGACCTCTGATGTAGGTGACAAAGCATATGCCTCATCTCCTTTGGTACGACTCCAATTTCTTCCTTCCATCCTTGCTAGATATAAGACCCCATCTTATTTTGGGGGAAACACGGTAGCAGTTTAAATATTTTCTCTATATAACTGAGAATGAGCTGTCCTGAAAGTCTCATTGAGAACAAAAGTTGCAAAGTTCACAGGCTCTTTACCACCGAGTGTTAATTCATTGGCAAGATCCTGTCACTTTCATTTGAATGTTTTGGAATAAAATTAACAAATTATGGATTTTCTAAAAATATGATAAAAAGTTTAAGATCTTTTTTAACATTTCCTTCTATTTTTGACAATCAGTTGTCAACATAATGAATAATTAAAAAGTCATGCAGTTTAATACAAGTACATTTTCTGATGTTTGTATACAGACTTATCTCACCATGTGCAAAGATTTTATCGCTGTTGGTCTTGGTGATTTAGAGTTTCAAGCGCAACTCCTGAACATGGTGACTGCAATCGTACAGAGAGGTATACTCTTTACATTTTCTGCTGGTGTCTTTTCTAAAAAAAGCACTGTGATAAATTTTTCTGGTTGGATAGTGTTGCCTTTATTTTTGACTTTAAACATGACTTGCTTTATGTCGAAATCACTATAAAGCTACTAACAAACAATAATGTCTGTGGAAATGTGTACTTTGAACATACAGTAGTATGAGCTAATGATAATACAAACATCTGATAACAGATGGAAGATCTAGTAATGTGTAGTATGAGCTAATATTAGTGATAATACAAATATCTGATAACAGATGGAAGATCTAGTAATGCTGACAAATAAATGATAAGTATGGAAAAAGAACATGAAAAACCTGCAATTATTATAGCATGAGTCTTTATAAAAGAAGATTGTTGTGTTCACTGATAACAAAATCCCTTGTTGAGTGTTTTGTGCCCTTCACCTGCTAATACAAAAATGTTTGATACCTCAAAAAAGCAAGGACTTCCAAAATATCAGCATCAGCTATATATTGCAGAATGACGCAGATGACAATTACACATCTGGTGCAGTGCACCAGCAACCTAGCCCTTCGGAAGCGTTTTACCTGTTTTAGGAGAACGTCTTATTTTATGAGTCAATGAGAAAGTGATGGCAAAAAGCATGTGCTTGATCCACCAGTCGATCATTAGAGCAGGCTCTACTGTACTAGTGCATGTGGATGGCAGCTTTCCTGCATGCTTTCCGACATAGATTAATCTCGGGATGAAAACTGGGAGCCTTTTTATTTCATACTTAAGAACTACAATATCTGAATGGAATTTAGGACACCTTTCCCCTGCATTAATAGCTATCCCGGGTGTTGTATACATGTCGTATTCTGATAGTTACTTCATTTTTTAAATATACTTAGATAGAGGCTGGATTTTCATCTCGCCATTACTCTGTATCCTGCAAGAGATGGTTGAAGCTTCTTTAACCTATAACAGCGATAGTGAGTATTTGGTGGAGCTTCTTGACAACGTTCAGAGGATGTTCCAGAAAATTTTAGAATGTATTGCACTCAGGCTCAGAAGACAACAAGAAGAAGGAATTCAGGTATTGATCGCCTTAAATGTTAGTCAGCTTGAATGATTTTTTACCTGTGATTGTGTTGGGAAGAGAAACATCAATGAGATGTGAAGATTGTTTTCACCTATTAACTCATCTGGGCATAGCCACTTATGACCACTGCTCTCAAAATTAAGTGTTGTGTTGCTGCCATTTGAGGAGTGGCCCGTAATGAAGGCTCCAAGGTATTAACTTTTGCTTCAAATGATTCCAGTACACATCATATTTATTTGTTGCTGTAGAAAATGAGGATATAATATGGCCTTTTCAACCAACTTATACTGTTCCTGGTTCTGCGTAGTAAAAGTGTGATCATGTTTATTTCACAACTGATGAGCTATTTATTTCTGACGAAGCTAAAAAGAAAGAGCCAACCACTTGCTCTCGAAGTTTTAAATGGCAACTTTGAGAATTACATTTCAAGGCCATTATTTACAACTACGTTGTTGGTGATCATATATGTACTTCTGAGGTTTTTTTAAAAAATGCTTTTAAAAACACTTTTTAAAAAGGTCAACAGTAGATAAAACATTGTAAATGGAAAGCAATTTACACAAAACATGGTAATTATGCTGCATAGGTGATGTATATTTTCATGCATACTTGGTAACATGCCCAGAGAAACAAAATTACTGATTGCTAAAGAAATAAGGTAGGGATTAATTGTCATGGCAGACTTTTCAACACCTTCCACAAACATTGTTCCATGGTGTTGCTCAGTTCTTCTTGAAGACTTTGTCTCGTCAATGCGCTTACAAAAATATTAAAGAAACATAGACTTATTTAAATTGTGTTGCTTAGGTTTGTGTTCTACATTCTAGAATCTGTTTGAAGATGGGTACGAACTGCAGGTTTGGCCAATGGCTGAACAGGTGTTCTGTGGTTCTTCTTTGTGGCCTCTGTGAATCCAAACAGTTGTTCTGTGGTTCTTCTTTGTGGCCTCTGCGAATCCCAATCTGGGTAATTTGCTCGTGCGTGGAGCCACATTGGAACCTTCTAGAGCTCCTGCATTCAAAAACAAACATGTTAGTATAGGGGCTCCCCACCACTATATGTACGTTGGTGCCAAGACTCTCCCCTCAGTTTTCTTTCAACCACTGCATTGAGAGTCTCGTTTGTTGCTTCTTGTCCAGCTTCTTCTGCCCTTTTGGTCCCCCCCTTTTTCTCTCTCTCTCTGGCCTTGTCCCCTCTGGCCAGGGCCTTCCCCCTGCCCCCATTCTTATGGTTCATGGCCTCTACAGTCCTGTTTAAACATTGCATATCCTGCAATAATAAAATCCTCCTCTCCGACAGCCAAGCAAGTGCCTTTTCTGCCTCAGGCCCACTGAAAAACTTGCCCTCGTTGCAAGAACTTCAGACGCAAAGTCCTCTGTGACCGTCTCTCCAGGCTTAAACTCCATCTCTGGGAGAAATCTCTCCAGCCAGGAGGAACTGTGGCATAATCAGTCTGTAAATCTGTGTCCAAGCAAAGACTATGGATAAGACCATTTCAGAGACCACCAAACAGTGCTCATCAGCCACCCCCTCCCATTCCGAGGACCAAGGGGCTCCCTTGACATCAATTTTGGCTGCTGAATCTCAGCCACCTCTGGTGGACACCCGATCAGAAGCAGCGTCGTGGCTTCCCTGCCCTGCCTCCTCTGGCTGCTGCCTCTGAGTGGGCACCTGCCAGAGGAGGTGGGGCACTGAACCACAGAACCAGCAGTTTATGCCCATCTCTGAATCTGTTCTCTTGTCATACTGCAACCTTGCCAGAAATGACTTACACATTTTTTTAACCTGACTTCTGTTTTCCAATAATCTTATACAAATTATTAGTTCCAGATGTTGCCATGAGACCTGCATAGAGAAAGTTCAAATATTCAGTGTGACTTCTTTTCGTACCAGCAAGGCTCCTATTGTTCCGTCAGTCTGTAATGCAATCTAGTGATGCAAGAGTGAGTTGGAATCATGTCTCACTGTTTCTGCAGGAAAGTAGGCAGTCACCACCTAATGTTCTTTGTAATGTGGGCTACATATTAAGCTAGTGGACACTTTGTGTGCTTCACTTCCTGCAGATAAGCTTAAAGGGCATAAATTCAGCCACAGTTTTTAGAATCCATGTATAATAAAACTAATTTTTCATTTCTAGTTAATTCGCTCTGTTCAAGAGCCTCTCGGAGAATTCGTACACATGGTCCAGTGTTGTGCTTTGACTTGTCCTGCTGTTCACCATGGAGTCCTTTCTTCCCTATTAGCTGCAGTAGTAGTTGAGACGGGTTACACCTTACAGTACAAGGTATTCTGTTTTGTTCTGTTGTCTTCACAAGCACAGACTATATCATGGGTGGGCAACTCTGGCAGTGTTTTTAATGGGCTAGCTTGAGGGTGGTCATGGGAGCTGCAAAAATTCCCCTGGAGGGCTGTACTTTGCCGACCCCTCCCTGTGTGATTGTGAGAGAGGGGTGGTGTCAAGCAAGTATTCATGGCCCAATTAGAGAAAAGGGGGAGGGGAGCTGATTTTTCTGCGAACTTGGATGCTACTTCCTTATTTTTTATGAAAGGAACAGTGCTCATAAGTTAAAACCCAACACTAACTGATAAAACCACATTTCCTCGTATTTTTCCGTGTATAAGACTATACTTTTGTCTAAAATCTTTAGACTAAAAATTGAGGGTCGTCTTATACATGGAAGTAACTGAGGAGAGAGAAACAAGTAGAGGGGAAAGCAGGGATCAAAGCGATCCTGCAGCGCTTTGATCCCTTTCCCCCTGCACTTGGTAAGCCCCACTTAGATTTCTTAATTTTGGATTAGAAAAGTGGAGGGGGTGTCTTATACATGGGGGCATCTTATACATGGAAAATTATGGTATTTTAGGTGACACTAATGTTCTGTTATAACCGTCTCTGTTAATGACCAGTACTCTTATTGTATGGAAAGTCCTTCCAATATATTAATGCTTACAAAAAGTTACCATTGTGGTGGTAATGCCTGTGGACAGAACCCATCCTCCAAGTGGTGCAACCCCACATTATGTTGATAGGACTTTCTACTCCATGGAAGCTTAATAGGATACTGGCCAATATAATTTACTCTGACAAACACTGGTGACAGGCTAGAGTATGCTGACAACATCAGGTTTTTGAGGCAGATTGGCTCTAGTTTTGAAGAATCTTCAGCAGATGGATAGATAGACACACACGTATAAATATATATATAATACACACAACACACCCACATGCACAACCTGGGCAGTGGCAGGGCCCACATTGTTAGGGAAGAAAGTGGGAAAAGATGGCAGCAATAATGAGCAGGAGAAAAGTAGTGAGAAGTGACTTGGGCCAGGCATTCTTCAGAACCGCAAATCCTGTTGTCCCTTGTTACAAAGCCGCTGGTTATACATTCAATATACTAGCCTTGAAATGACTAGAAGAGTTGCGTTTGATCAAGGACAAAATCAAGGACAAGTTGAGAGTAACAATATTGTTAAGAGATTTTCCTTTAGTATGCCATTAGTATCTTGAAATGTTAGCTTCTAGTTCTGAACCCCAGGAAGTCATCGGGCTTGGATTCCTTATTTATTCCCAATCTGAGAACATTACAAATATCCTCTGTTTTCTATTTCCTATTAGCTGTAGTACCTCCTTTCCGTGGTAGAGCCACCATCAACTGTTTCACTATTGTGAATGCCAGCAAATGCAACACTGTCCAGGGCCTCTGACGTTTGATGTTTTGTGGGGGTGGAGGGCGGGTTGTGCCAGTTTTTAATGTTTTTGATGACTCCTAAATAATTTATCTATATTTCTTCTGTTTCAGGCATCAAAGCTAGAAGAGCTAATTATACCTAAGAGTTTTTCAGACCTTCCTCCACTTTCAAGTGCTTTAATGACAGTAGTGAACAAGTCAGCAAATGTGGTCAGGTAAGCATTTGCCCCACCCCCACTCAATGATAAATGCACAATGAAAGCATTTTTAACACTGTAGCCTTCTCACGTTACATCATGGAGGTACTTCTGCTCACATTGTAGATAAGCACTCCCTCCTCCCTTTACTATCCTGAGACCTCCCATAGATAGAGATTTTTCTCTATTGAAAAAGATGGCTGCTGATAGATATGAACTGAAGCAAAGTTTGTTGTTGGTTGTTGTTGTTTAGTTGTTAAGTCGTGTCTGACTCTTCATGACCCCATAGACCAGAGCATGCAAGGCCCTCCTGTCTTCCACTGCCTCCCGGAGTTTGGTCAAGTTCATGTTGGTCGCTTCAATGACACTGTCCAGCCATCTCGTCCTCTGTCATCCCCTTCTCCTCTTGCCTTCACACTTTCCAAACATCAGGGTCTTTTCCGGGGAGTCTTCTCTTCTCATGAGATGGCCAAAGTATTAAAGCCTCAGCTTCCGGATCTGTCCTTCCAGTGAGCACTCAGGGTTGAGTCCTCTTTCACCCTCATTAAGAGGTTCCTTAATTCCTCCTCACTTTCTGCCATCAGAGTGGTATCATCTGCATATAGGAGGTTGTTGATATTTCTTCTGGCAATCTTAATTCCGGCTTGGGATTCATCCAGTCCGGGCTTTCGCATGATGTATTCTGCATATAAGTTAAATAAGCAGGGAGACAATATACAGCCTTGTTGTATTTCTTTCCCAATTTTGAACCAATCAGTTGTTCCATATCCAGTTCTAACTGTTGCTTCCTGTCCCACATATAGGTTTCTCAGGAGACAGATAAGGTGGTCATGCACTCCTGTTTCTTTAAGGACTTGCCATAGTTTGCTGTGGTCCACACAGTCAAAGGGTTTTGCGTAGTCAATGAAGCAGAAGTAGATGTTTTTCTGGAACTCTCTGGCTTTCCCCATAATCCAGCGCATGTTAGCAATTTGGTCTGTAGTTCCTTTGCCCCTTCGAAATCCAGCTTGTACTTTCGGGAGTTCTCGGTCCACATACTGCTGAAGCCTACCTTGTAGGATGTTGAGCTTAACCTTGGTAGCGTGTGAAATGAGTGCAATTGTGCGGTAGTTGGAGTATTCTTTGGCACTGCCTTTCTTTGGGATTGGGATGTAGACCGATCTTTTCCAGTCCTCTGGCCACTGCTGAGTTTTCCAAACTTGCTGACATATTGAGTGTAGTACCTTAACAGTGTCATATTTTAAGATTTTAAATAGTTCAACTGGAATGCCATCACCTCCACTGGTCTTGCTGCTAGCCATGCTTTCTAAGACCCGCTTGACTTTATTCTCCAGGATGTCTGGCTCAAGGTCAGCAACCGCACTATCTGGGTTGTCCGGGACATCGAGATGTTTCTGGTATAATTCCTCCGAGTATTCTTGCCACCTCTTCTTGATGTCTTCTGCTTCTGTTAGGTCCCTCCCATTTTTGTCCTTTATCATGTCCGTCTTTGCATAAAATGTTCCTTTAATAACTCCAATTTTCTTGAACAGATCTCTGGTTTTTCCCTTTCTATTATTTTTTTCTATATCTTTGCACTGTTTATTTAAGAAGCCCCTCTTGTCTCTCCTTGCTATTTTTTTGCAAGTCCGCATTCAATTTTCTGTAACTTTCTCTATCTCCCTTACATTTTGTTTCGCTTCTCTTCTCTGCTATTTCTAAGGCCTCATTTGACAGCCACTATGCTTTCTTGCATTTCCTTTTCTTTGGGATGGTTTTTGTTGCTGCCTCCTGTACAATGTTACGAGCCTCTATCCAAAGTTCTTCAGGCACT